TCATTGATTAAACAAATTAAGATAGATTTAGGCAGTGAAATTCTATGCAACAATAAAAAGAATGAAGTAGCACTAAATATATAGAGAGATGGAAAATTAACCAAATGTTTTTATTGAGTCAGAATTACTGATTATAAAGCACTATGTATAATGTGAAACAACTTTTTATAAACTATAATCTTAATGATAATATGCATGCATAGAAAAATATAATTATAAAAATTAATGTTTGGGCAGTTTTTGTGTGTGTGTCTTTCTTTATTGTGAATTTGGAGGTTTACAGAGCTGGTCATCAGTTTCACATTCAAGGATTCACACTCATTTTTGTCAACTCATCCACTGCAGTCCCCTCAGTGCCCTACCTTTCATTTAACCCACTTCCTCCCTTCCTCCCTGTGCTTTTGTTGCCGTTCTTCCTCCTTCCCTTTGGATTTTTTCCTGGACAAATGCTGCCCTTTTGTTTGAATGGTTGGTTATGCTAACATGGGTGAGTTCAGTTCCAGACCTGAAGGGTGAGTAAGGGCCACAGTCTTTGGGATTCCCCCTGTCTCTATCCAATCAGTAAGCCTTATTTCTTTTGTGATGTAAAATTTCTCCTTCACACTCTCCTCCCATTTGATCCGGGATCTTTTCATGTGATCCTTTTCAGAACAGCTTATAGTGGTAGCCATCTAGTTCTTCTGCCCTCAGGGTTGAGGAGAGTGGTGCTTATCTGATTCACAAGTCCACTGGACTGGTTACTGCTGTGTGTCTCTGGATGTTCATCACTCTTCTTTCCTCTGGATGTGTAGAGACCAGTAGTTGTACCTTTGATGACTGTTCACAAGCTTTAAGACCCCCGTCAGTCAGTATTCAGCACAGTGGCACTATGGTGAGTACTCACCAATGTAGCACTATGCTTTTGTGAACTGTTACGCCAGCTGACCTTGGTGCCCCTAGTGCCCAGCAACTCATTCCTTCAAAGTGTTTGGTTATATCTAAAATGTTTTCATAACGTTGTCCCCTGCATGCTCCACCACATTCATGGATGTATTTGCAGCCAAGGTAAATATAGGCATATAAAATCTGTATATATTCATGTGTGTACTCCCACTCTCCCTCCCATACCTGTTCAACAGGTGTGTCTATTCCACTTTTATGCATAGATCACCGCTATTGCAGGATTGGGCCATGGTTTTCTTATCATTTGTGCTAAAAATGCTTTCTTAATTAATATTCCCTGTTTCGCAATATTTAATTCTTAGCCTTACTGACATATGAACACAACACCTTTTCTGTTTAATTTTTTACAGTTGTTGAAAAGCTCAGAGAAATGATGGAAGAAATTGAAAATGCAATTAATACTTTCAAAGAAGAGCAGAGGTTGATGTGCGTTTTAAAGTCCTTCTAATATAAGATTATTGACTTTTATTTTTTGATAATTTTCCTTTAGGTTGTTGTATAGAAACCAGTTTATTATCATGTTTTTAATATGGGTTACAGAAAATCAATATCACATCTCTCGTGTTTTAGGTGTTATACTGCTTTTCATGTGCACAGTGAATTTTTATTTATGTCTGGACAGTATAAAATCTAAAATGATAGGTTGGGTTACCACCCGCACCTCCACCCAAGGAAATTCTACTTTCAGGCTTAGACTTATAAATATTAATAATAAAGCACAGAGTAGGATTTGGTCTGTTGATACTCGGAAACAAAGAAGAATGAGATTGAAGCAGGCAAGCAGGTAGGTAAGCACAAAAGATTGGGTTAAGACAGTGCAGTGCTTGAGCCAGAGGACCCTGGGGTACGTGGCCAAAGAAAGAGAACACAGGGAGCAAGAGGGTGACGGAAAGGAGAAGGTGATGCGGGAAAAAGTCAAGAATAATTCAATTTAAGGGGGAAAAATGAAGGGTTTCTAAAATCCTAACACTTTAAAAAATTTAATTATAGTTATGAAGAGCTTATTAAAGAAGAGAAGACAACTAATAATGAACTGAGTGCTATATCAAGAAAAATTGACATCTGGGCTTTGGGTAATTCAGAAACGGAGAGAGCTTTCAGAGTCATGGCAAGCAAGATGCCTGTAGACAAAGTAGCACCAAGTAATCTTCCAGAAGAAGTGGTGGATTTTGAGAAATTCCTTCAGCAAACAGGAGGGCGGCAAGGAGGCTGGGACAACTATGACCACCAGAGCTTTGTAAAAGTGAGAAACAGATACAAAGGGAAGCCAGCGTTTATGGGAGAAGTTCTAGAACACCTTCCTGGAAGGACACAGGAGGAAGTGCAGCAGCATGAGAAATGGTATCAAAAGTTTCTGGCTCTAGAAGAAAGCAAAAAAGAGGTAATAATTGTAACCGCTCTTAATTTACATGTTACTATGTTCCAAGCACTTGGCTAGATTCATATATATCCTTAACTTGACAATCGTCTCATGTATTGTCATATGTAATACAGGACATATTACATGTAACATAATACATGTAATTATTATATTACATGTGAAGTGAGTATCCCTCCCTTCATCATTTTATGGAAGATGAAGCAGAAATTTTTAAGAAATAATTTGTCCAAGTAATGGAACTACAACCGGGTCTTCTTTTTTACCCCAAGTACTATAGTGGGCCAAAAATTTCTTATGGTGGGCAAACCCCTCATTGTTCATTTCCTCAAAAGATAGGTAGACCATATCTAGCTTTTGAGAAAATTTTATTACCAGTAAAGACCACATTGTTTTGGATAGAAAATAAAGGCGGGGGTGGGATGGGGGTGGGGACAAAAACCTTTGGCTATTACAGATGTCTTTTTGTGTTTTGAAAATTTGTACCTCATTGGTTAAGAACCTGATGATTTTGGCCATTCTAGAGCAAAGAGTCACCTTTGATGGTAGCAAATTCCTAAAATATGTTTTTAATCATTCAAGGAAAACAAAATATTAATCTTTTGTAAGACACAAAACAAAAACCTTCCCTGCCATTGAGTCGGTTCCAACTCATAGCAACCCAGCAGGGCAGGGCAGGGCAGGACTGCCCCCGTGGATTTCCGAGACTGTCACCCTTTATGGGAGTAGGAAAACCCATCTTTCTCCCAGGAGCAGCTGGTGGTTTCAAACTTCAGACCTTAGGGTTAACACCCCAATTCATATCCACTACAGCACCAGAGCTCCAAGGATGATGAGGAAAGCACAATTGAGTTTTTCATACCATGACATTGGGATAACTATTATATCTAACCTGGAGAATTTTTGAAATACAAAATTGAATCTTAAGTTCCATTTTTCATAAAAATATTATTTTGGCTTTTGTTTAGGCCAGTGATTCTCAACCTTTCTAATGCCACGGCCCTTTAATATAGTTCCTCATGTTGTGGTGACCCCAACCATTAAATTATTTTCATTGCTACTTCATAACTGTCATTTTGCTACTGTTATGAATTGGGTGACCCCTGCGTAAGGGTCATTTGACCCCCCCAAATGGGTTGTGACCCACAGGTTGAGAACCACTGGTTTAGGCCATGAAGGTCTTTAAATCTTGGCACTTATTGGGACATTGTGCACGATCATTCTTTGTTATAGACACTGTCCTGAGCATTTTAGAATGTTTTGCAGCATTCCTGTAATCTACATACTATATCAAAAGTACTGTAGACATTGCTAAATGTCCCCTGCAGAACAAAGCCGTCCCTAGTCGAAAACCTAAGGTTTAGGTAGTCGTCATCAAAATCATTTTTAAGTAGAATTCAGCTATGATGAACTTCTTTTTGCTTGGTTTGATATAAAGGGCTGTTACTATTCAGCAGGTGGTATTTGATGAGAGGTCAGAAACATTAGAGATACACTGATTTTGAGTATTCTGTGTTTATTCTATAGTTTTGGTGACAGCAGCTGTTTTTGTTGTTCGGTTTTTGTTTTCTGAAATAATTTGAATGTAGAAAGATTGACTTGGGACTTTGAGAAAAAGTTTTAAAACAAGTCATTTGTAAGGATTCAAACAAGCTACTAAGAATTATTTGGATTTTTTCCCCCTAGTGTTTTGAAAACAAGGGCTTCTCAAAGTGATTACTATAGCAGTAAATAAGTATTACTTGTGAAATTGCCAGAAAATATTAGGCCCGCACCCCAAACCAAATCCATTTTCAAATTAATAACCTACTTCAAGTTAATTCCAATACTTTGTAACCTCTTGTGTTACAGCATAGAACTACGCTGTCAGGTTTTCTTGATGTAATTTTTCAAAACCACCAGCTGCTCCTCGGGAAAAAGATAAGGCTTTTTACTCCCATTAAAAAGTTATAGTGTTCCACAAGGCATTTCTACTAAGTCCTATAGGATGCTATGAGTCAGAATCAACTCGATATGGTAGGTATTGTTATTAAATCTTTATGGAAGCAGATTACCAGGCCTTCCTTCTGTGATGCTGCTGTGTGAGTTCAAACTGCCAACCTTTATGTTAATAATTGAATGCAAACTGTGTGTGCTACCCAAGGACCCTGAGAGATAGGGTCTAGCAATCTGTGTTTAACACATCTTTCAGATTATTATTCTAATCTCAAGTTTGAGGATCATTTCTCAATGGAGAAATGAAGCAGGCATATGTTTTTGTAATAAATCAAGGTTAGTGTTTCAAAACTACCAGCTGTTCTGCCAAAGCAAAATGATGCTTTTTACTCCCATAAAGAGTTACAGTCTGGAAAACCCACAGGGGCAGTTCCGCTCTGTCCTATAGGATTGCTATGAGTCAGCATGGACTCGATGGCAGTGAGGGTTTTTTTTGTTTGTTTTGGATCCCTGATTTTACTGTACTCCTCTTATTCCCAGTCTTGATGTTTCGGGATGATTTTTGATGATTGCTTGGATGAAGAGGTAAAGTAGAAGGGGGGGATATGAAAGTGGAGGTGATGTTGACTGAAGTATGGCATGTTGGAAGACAGGAAGGAAGTTTGGGGAAAGTGTCAGAAATTCCATTTTAAATCTGAGTTTGAGTTGTTGAATAGCAAGTTTATCTTTTAGTATTCCACTTCCTTGTCTAAACAGAAATCTACACCATTTTTAGACTTGCCCTGTACATTCTAGTCTGAGTACTCTTGCTTATCTTGTTCCCTCTTTTAGAATTGCGTCCCCCCTCCCCCATCAGCTTCAATCCCAGCCCAATTTAATCTGGGCTTCAAATCTGCCCAGATTAAATGTTACCACCTCCTTATCCAGCCATATGTGGTCTCCTCTATCCCTGTCAGAACTTCAATAACACCTTTTAACAATGCCACCACACGTTCTGCACATATCTAAAACAGTGCTACTCAAATGTATTGCCCATGCCAGATATTAGTTGACAAACTATAAGCAGTGCATAATGATAAAATTTTGCTTCAAAACCAGCTACTTAGGAAGCATACTGTTTAGTTCAATGGACTTTTTTATAAGAAAACTTCTCAATGAAAACCTATATACTGGACTGAGTTCTTTATATTGCTGTGAGTGGCACTCTGGGAAGTATTGTACTTGATGGCATTTGCCATTGTTTTAATTATGTATCACATTCCATCCTATTGCCCTATATATGGTGTACATGCCATAAGGATTTCTTGAGTGAATATTGCACCAGGAGTAAAGATCAGAGAAATAGCCTTCCTGATTTGAGGGAAGTAATTCAATTGATGTATCTTTTAAGCTATAGAAAAGGCAATTGGAATTTTAAAAAAATCTATATAATCCTGTCAAGCTGCTTCCACCACAGTCTGTCAGTTTGTCATACTGCTTTATTTCAAATACCAGCATAGTCATTCGTGTGAACAGATCTCAGCAGAGCCTCCTGGCTAAGACAAACTAGGAAGAAAGGCCTGGTGACCTATCTTCTGAAATTAGTCCATCAAAACATGAGTAACAGCAGGATTTTATCTTGTTTGCTTTGGACACAGTGCTAGACACGATCAGTTGCTAGAGGAGGACATTGTGATGAATGAAGTAGAGGTGGACGAGGGCATAGGAGACCCTGAGTAAGATATATTGGCACACTGATAGACTTGAACATGCTGAGACTTACGAGATTGATGCAGGACCTGGTAACATTTTATTCTGTTCCACAGAATGTCACTATGAGCCAGAAAATCAACTCAGTGGCAGCTAACAATAGCAATGCACTATTTTCCTTGTATTTTTATCTTATTTGTATACTTATTAGGAAGCCAGGCACTATATACCAGGCAGTCATTCCTCCCAACAGCCCTATCCATGATGGAGGCCTTACTTAGCAGCACTTTCGAGATGAGCAAAATGCGTGCAGAGCAGTTCAATGACCCATGTAAGGAAATGGTCAGGTCCCTGTGCGGTGTGAGAGTCTGGCTTCAGAGCCCGTGCTCTGAACCGTCTGCTTTTGATGCCTCTCCGATGTTTGACCAGAGAAAGGTTTCTTGGAGTATTCTGAGTCTAGAAAGAGGGTTTGGAAGCAGAAGTGAGACACAGAGGAAAGGGGCGGGCCCTGTGAAAGCAAGAGTGCAGTTCTCGTGAGCCTGGAAATGGAGAAGAGGAAGGTCAAGAGGTTAAAACAGACACAAGTGTGTATTTTAAAAGGAAGTTAATTTCTTTTCAAAATAGAAGTAGGAAAACATTTGCATTTATTTAAAAACTAAAACCCTTTAAAACCTAAGCAACCGGCATCCTGCAATCAATAAATATCCTTTCTAGAAAGATGGATTTGAGGTGATATTTTTAAATACTTTTGATTATCTAAAAATATGTTATCTTTCTCCCTTTATTCTTTTTTAGTCTATTCAAAATTGGAAAACTAAAAAGCAGCAAAAAAAGGAGGAAATTTTCAAGACAAAGGAAAAGGCAGAGGATATGCTTCTTCTTTGTCATAATAAACAAGAAGATGGTCAAAAACTAAAAGAAGAAAGAAGAAAACAGAAATTGGCAGTTGAAGCTTGGAAAAAACAGAAATGCATAGAAATGTCCATGAAAAATGCTTGTCAGTTCAAAGATGAGGAAGAGAGAGAAAGAAAACAGCAGAAGGAGCGGCAACGCCAGTTTAAACTAAAACTACTACTAGCAAACTATACCCAGCAGAAGAAAGAGCAAGAAGAATTCTTGAGGCTTGAAAAGGAGGTGAGGGAGAAGGCAGAAAAGGCTGAAAAAAGGAAAACTGCTGCTGATGAGATTTCCAGGTTTCAAGAAAGAGTAAGTAAATAAGCTTTTTCTCCTAAGTTTTTTAAATGTTTCCTTGCAGTATTACTTCCACATTCAGCTCACCACAAATTTGTGAGTACTTCTTATACATTAACCCTGTACATACCTTTAGCTTACCACAGCTTTTTAATTTCTGGTGGATTTTAGTCTAGGAGGGGAGAACACAAGGCTTTCCACTTGTATGAAGAGTTACAGTCTCAGAAACCCACAGGGGCACTTCTTCCTTGCCTCGGGGGTCACCATGAGTTGGCATCAACTTGATGGCAGTGAAGTGGGTGAAGAGATTGTCTCGGAGGAAAGATAGATGTGCAAGGAGAAATAGTGCAGTGAAATGCCAATAGTGTGGACAGGGTACTTTAGGAGGTGGGTGTACAGAGAAGACGAATAACCATGACCTGTGTGCATCAGAGAGGAGGTGGTATTTAAATTGAGCCTTGAAGAGAAAAACAAATCTTTAAAACCCTAGAACAGTGGTTCTCAACCTTCCTAATGCCACGACCCTTTAATACAGTTCCTCATGTTGTGGTGACCCCAAACCATAAGATTATTTTCGTTGCTATTTCATAACTGTAATTTTGCTACTGTTATGAATCGGGCGATCCCTGTGAAAGGCTCATTTGACACTCTGCCACCCCAAAGAGGTCGCGACCCACAGGTTGAGAACCACTGCCCTAGAAGCTATTCTTTCTGACAGCCAGGCACCATGTAGTTTCTTCACCACACTTTGCTATTAGCATTGCTATCTTCAGTGATCTCTTCATGAGGTCAAGCATCAAGTAAGGGTCATGTCATAAGAACTAATTGTTCTTATATTGGGGGTAGAATTAAGTGTGAATTAACACTTCAGAATTCTTGAGACATTTAGGAGGTGGTGGGAAGCAGCAGAAGAGGCTTGAAAGGTAGCTACAGTCAAGGTTATGAATACCTTGGACTGACTTCACCCCCAAGGAAGTTTTTATTTGTTCACGATCCATCTGTGTTAGTCCGGGTAGACTAGAGAAACAAATTCATAGACACTCACATGTGTATAAGAAAGAGGTTTATATATAAGAGCAATTGAAAATTGAGAAAACATCCCAGCCCAGTCCAGATCAAGTCCATAAGTCCAATATTAGTCAATATGTCCGATACCAATCTATAAAGCCCTCTTCAGACTCCTGAAACACATGCAATGATGTCGAATGCTGGAAGATCACAGGCCAGTGGGTGTGAAGTCTTGTGGTCCCAGTGGCATTATAAGCATCGCAACGCTGGCAGGGGTCTCCATGTGGCTTCTCCAGATCAGGGCACTAGAGTAGTTCCATGTGTCTTGTCAGCTGCTCTGTCTCCCAAGGTGTGAGCAGAGAAAGAGAGTCTCCTGCCTCCAAGGAGGAAATACAAGAGTTCCCAGAATCCTCAGGAGAAGGCCATGCCCACACATAGGCCTCATTGGCTATGGCCCGATTGACAGACTAGACTCCAGCCCTTCACTCTTAATCCTCTCAAGTTCCAAATTGACAGCAGATTACGTAACTACCACACCATCTCTCCACCATAATGTAAGCCCTGTGAAATCAGAGGTTTTTCCCTTTTCATTCTTCCCTGTTCCACGTGATCGGGTGCATTATATGTACTTAAATCCATCAAGGTTGTTTCTGGTGGTATGATTATAGGTGATTTTAAACTAGTACATAACAGAAAGGAATTATATTCTTGTCAAATAAGGTGAGATTCAGTCCAAAAACTATTAAGACAAGGAAGACTATTAAGATAAGAAAAAGCACACTAATACAGAAAACTTTTGTTCATTCCTTTTAGTCCACACGTAAAAATTTTTCTACAGCACAAAAGATACCATGCAACCCCCCCCCAAAAAAAAACACCCAATTGACTACATAGTGAAAGATTGCAAAAAAAGAAAAGAAAACCTATGAAATAGAAAATCATTAAAAAGGTAATGAAGATAACTCATTCCTATATTGGAAGTGAACATGGGTTTAACTCACCTATTAAAAGAAAAACAAAACAAAACCTAACTGCCATCAAGTCAATTCTGACTCATTGATCCTAGAGGACAGAGTAGAACTGTCCCTGTGGGTTTCCAAGAATAACTCTTTACAGTAGAAGACAGCCTCATCTTTATCACAGAACAGCCTGGTGGTTTCAAACTACTGACCTTTCAATTAGCAGCCCAACTCATAACCCATTATGCTACCAGGGCTTCTCATTAAAAGAAAAGCAGTTTTAAATTGGACCTTAATATAGGACAAGGGAGGGATACACCCTATGATTCTAAAGTGATTCAAAGGGATGTGTATGTTACATTTATATTCAGAAAAAACAAACCCCGTAGCCTCTGCTAGACAAAGTTAATCTTGAGACAGTGTGTATATGTAAGCTAACTTAATTTTACTTGCAAACAAGTTAATTTTACTTTAATTTCTTTTTTCTCCCCACCCCTTTGGTGTTTTGTTTTTTAGGATTTACATAAACTTGAATTGAAAATTCTAGACAGACAGGCAAAGGAAGATGAAAAGGCAGAAAAACAAAGAAGAAGGGCAAAATTAAAAGAGAAGGTACCTTGTACTGAGATTGATTTATTTTTATTCTTATTATCCTAATTCTTCTATTTGTTAAGAATTCAGACATCAAATTCATTTTCTTCAGAACCAGCATTATTCCTATATCATCTCCTTTAAATTTCATTCTTAATTATTTACACAGTAGGAGCATCATTTAGTACACTTTAATCAACTCTTAGTGAATTCTACTATTTCACATTATAAACATCTCTTTTTACCCTAACATCTCTCCCTCTTCCTATTCATTCTTCGTTTATGTGACCCCCTCCTGTAGACCAGCGGCCCCTGTAAGCCGTGCTTCATCTCACTGATTACACTCAGCTAGAGGTTGTTGCCCTTCGTAGGACTTCCCTAAGCCAATCTGTTGCCATTGAGGTGACTACTCCCATGGGTGTTGAGCAGTAGTCAAGTTTCCATTGCCTGATTTTCTTGGAAGTAGATCAGCAAGCTTTCCTTCCAAGGTGCCTCTGGATGGACTCAAACTTCCATTTTTGCAGTTGAGTGCTTAACTATCTGTACCACCTACATTATTTCTCCTAAATGTATTGTCTGGTCACACTATACCACACTTATATTACATTTGCCTCACAATAGAAAATATAATGGGAGAAATACAAAAATTAAATAAGAGTTTATTAATAGACAGATATAGTTCACATTTTATTTGCCATCCATGACAGCAGGAAGGAAGCCTTACTGTCCTCTGGCTACAACAGGGAGAAGACTCCAAATCTACACCAGCCCAAGGCCAATTGTCAGATAGGCTTCTGCCCTCCATCCTCCTCTTCCCTCGTCTGCCACCAGCCTTTCCTCCACAGCACTACTTGCCTGCTGGGTTTGATAATTCCTTACAATGGCCACACACACCTAACAGACAAAACTCATGATTGAGGAGGTTAATTAGGGATGTTAACAGGTGTCCATAAGCTATGATCAGAAAACATTAAGGATATAGTCTTTATTCACATCAGGGTCTCTCCTCAGCCAACAACCCAGTCTCTCTCTGTGGTCCTCAGCTTCAGCCACGTTCTCCCTTGGCCTCTGGTCTCCATGGGCCACGAAGCTTGCCAACTGCTCTGCCTTAATAGTCTTGTAGTTTCAGCACTGCTCTTCTGCTCTGTCTCTTGATCCTATCTCTGCCTCTGCTCTTCCTGTGACATGGCCTCTGATGCTTCTGGTCTCAGCCTCTACCACTTCAAGCAGGGAAGCTCTTTCTTCCTGCATGGTCTCAGGATTCTCTCCATCCGTGATTCTGGGTGACTCATTCATATAGTGGTAACTAAGCCTGACCGATCCTTTCTATTAGTGTTTCACACATCCTGTTTGCATGGTCCCACTCAATCATTTGGTGGCATTTACAGAGACATGGATAGAAGAGCCATATTAAGATATTTCACTCACCATACCACCAAACATAATTAGAATTTTACTGAAGGGACTATTAATAGTTCTATTTTGTTTACCTAATATCAAGAATTTTTTTCTAACTTGGCTTTCTGTTACCAAAGATTTTACTCATTTATTAATATAAATTTTAGAGTTCAAATAAATTAGCCGGTACTCATTTTACTTCTGATTACAGGTTGAAAACAATGTTAGTAGAGATCCATCTAGGCTTTACAAACCTACCAAAGGTTGGGAAGAGCGAACCAAAAAGACAGGACCAACAGGCTCTGGGCCACTCCTATTTATCCCACATAGGTAAAAAGGAATTATGGCTGTTCACTTTATAATAATTTAATTAACTAACATTCTGTCCAATTTTTGTATGTATATTTTATAATAAAAATATATTTTATAAAATTTTCATTTAATGTTTTTTTATGTACTATCATAAATAAAGTGACTTTCTTTTTCTCCTTAGGGCTATCCCAAGCTGGAGACAAGGATTATAGAGAAACATGTGAAGATAATGAAATTGGTATTCAGTTAATAACAGTGTTAGCATATTTTGTTATGTTGGGAGATAGTGTTACTAACCATGGTCTTTAAATAGCATTAGCATAGTTAGATTGATTATTAATTGTGCTTGTATGTGAATTGACAGGTATTAGGTTTCTTGCTGGCATTGCATTTGTATTTCGTTTATGCTAAAAGGGATATTTAATGTGTGTTTGTTGGCTTATTGGTATACAAGTTTGTTACAAACATTAAAAAATGCATAGAACATTTTGAAAGATACCTTGTTTTGTTATGATAAAATAAATTGGGACAATCATTGATATTTTCTAAACCAAAAATTTTCAAATTTTCAATCTGGTGATAAGTTACTGTCTTGAATAACAAAAATACTGAGTTTTGGTTGTTAGAGTGAAATAAGTTAGTACTTTTTCTAAGTTTAACAAATTGGTACTTTTGCAGTTATTACTTTTTGGTGTAATATTTTGTACTTATTTAAAAGCATGTTTTGTTTTATAGATAATATTTATTCCAAAAATGTACCTCTCACATCACAAACCATTTCAATTGTATTATTGATAACATCTCTTTGGTTTCCTCAGCTATTTCAAATTTCTCTCTACTGAATACATTCATAAAATCTTAATGCCTTTCATATCTTTTTGGCTAATGCAATTTTCTTTCTGCTCCTGTTTATCTCTCAATATTAAAATTCATTATCTGAAACATCTAAAATAAGATAGGTTTGGAATGCTTTAATTTCTCTTGATGCTATTTGATTTAAAATTGTTAAACTGTTGTCCATTTGGTAAAAAGAGCTCATTTTTGAATTTCCAGATTTTTATACATGATAACACAAATTTTAACTAAATGAAATTTTTTATATTACTAAATCTTAATTTTTAACTTTAATTTTCACCTTATAAAAAAGTTGTTAGGTGCTGCCAAGTCCATTTGGACTCATCGCCACCCTTTGTGCAACAGAACAAAACACTGCCTTCTTTGGTGCCAGTCCCACAGTTGTTATTATACTTCAGCCCATTGTTGCAGCCACTATGTCAATCCATCTCATTGAAAGTCTACCTCTTTTCTTCTGATCCTCCACTTTACCAAGCATGATATCGTCTTCCAGGAACTTTCTCTCGTGATAACATATCTAAAGTATGTCTTACCATCCTCACTTCTAAGGAACATTCTGGCTATACTTTTTCCAAGACAAGATTGTGTTTTTTTTCCTGCCCCACCCCCAACCCCCAGTCCCAAAGATTGTATATTCTTATGGCAGTGGATGGTACTTTATACTTTGTCAAGACCATAATTCAAATGCATTAGTTCTTCCTACCTTAATCATTGTCCAGTTTTCACATGCATATGAGAAGATTGAACATTCCATGGCTTGAGTCAGGCACACCTTCGTCATCAAAGTGCCATCTTTGCTCTTTAATACGGTGAAGATGTCTTTTGCAGCACCTTTGCCCAGTGCACCATGTGGTTCGATTTCTTACTGGAGACTTCCATGAGCATTGACTGGAATGTGTGAAATGGAATTCATTGACTACAATCTTTTCTCCGTTTATCACGTTATTTATCCGTCTATTTGTGAGGCTTTTTGTTTTCTTTTCATTGAGGGTTAATCCATTAAGATGTATCATCCAACACTATAGGCTTTGATCCTTATCAGTAAGTGCTCTTCAAGCCCTCTTCACTTCCAGCAAGAAAGGTTGTTAACCGCATATTCTATCACAGGTGGTTTATGAGTTTTCTCCAACCCCGGTGCTGCACTCTTTTTCTGACACTCCACCTCGTGGATTATTTGCTCATCAGATAGATGATGTAAATCTAGTAAGATGATAAAATCTGGATTATTTGCTCAGCAGATAGATTATGTAAATCTAGTAAGATGATAAAATCTGGATTATTTGCTCAGCAGATAGATTATGTAAATCTAGTAAGATGATAAAATCCTGACACATACCTTTCTTGGTTTTAAAACATTCAGTATCCCCTTTTTTCTGTTCAAATGACTGTCTCTGGTGTATGTACAGGTTCTACATGAACAATGTTATCCAGTTTGTTATGATCCATAGACACAAATGCCTTTGCACTGCTAATAAAACACAAGTAAACATTTTTTCTGATGTTATATGCTTCCAGCCAAGATCACTCTGATATCAATAATGATAATCCCCTCTGCATCTGAATCAAGTTTAATTCCTGGCAGCTCCCTGTCCATGTACTGCTTGAACTATGTTTTATTATCTGCAGCAAAATTTTACTCGCATGTGATATTGATGATATTGTTTGATCATTTCTGCATTCTTTTTGGCCACCTTTCTTTGAAAAAGGTTTTTAATAGCTGTAACATTTTGGTGATGCTGGGAGTTACTGCAAAGTTGGCTGTTCAAACCCACCAGCCGTTCTAAGGGAGAAAAATGAGACTAGCTGCTCCTGTACATTTTTATGGTCTTGGAAACTACATAAAGTTTCTGTGAGTTGGAATTGACTCAATGGCAGCTTTAGGTTTTGGATTTTAGAAGAAGAAAAAACTTTTATAACTAGTTCAGGCTTTTCTTCCAAGATATGGGTGAATCCAAATAACCTCTCGGTCAGTGGAGGAGAGGGTAACCATGGCAAACAACTGTTGACAAGAATGTGGAAACACTGGAACCCTCATCCATGATTTGTGGGAACATAAAATGGTGCAGCCATTGTGGAACTCAGAGTGGCAGTCCCTCAAAAAGTTGAGCACTAATTACCATATTACCCAGCAATCCCAATCCAAGGTATATACCCAGAAGTGAAGGCAAGACTACCAAGAGAAACTAGTATGCCAGTGTTCGTTGCAGCAAGTTCACGATGTGTCCATCAACAGCTAAATGGACAAACAAAATATATGCATACAACAATATTACATGCAATAAAGCGAAATGAAGTTATGAAGCATGGTACACCATGGATGAACCTTATAAACAGTCTGCTGAGTGGAATCAGCTGATAAAGGACAAATCCTGTATGATCTCATATGAAAAAAATAAAATAGATCTTTAATGGTTACCAATGGTGAAAGAAAAGACTGGTTTTTAGGAATCATCGAGTTTGTTAAGTGATTGTGGAATGTTTTGGATGAAGATCGTGATAATCGTGTCACAGAATGGAAAATGTAATCAAAGTTACTGAATTGTACATGTGGAAGTTGTGTTGTTGAGTTTTAGTGTGTCTGTTGTCACCACAATAAAAAAAAAAGTTACTGTGAAGTCAGTTCTGACCATGGCAACCCGGTGTACGGCCGACCGGAACGCTTTCCTTTTGCAATGGAAGGTCCGACAAGAAGGCGTTTCTGGAAATTTGGGGAATTAGGGTGGGAAGGAGGAGCTGTACTACCCACGAAGAAACAAAAGGCCAAAGATTTTCCGCTGGTAACGCGGTTTCAACCTCCCACCCGCCCCCCAACCGGACAGTCCCCCTCCAGGCCAGGTCGCCGCTTCCTGCGCGCAGGGCTTCAATCGCTTCCGGGTCGGGGCGGACTCGCTTCCGGAGCAGTATGGCGGCCACCCAGGACGAGCAGTCGGCCGGGTACATTGAGGGCGAGCGGCTGGATTTCTTGCGGGATCGGCACGTGCGGTTCTTCCAGCGCTGCCTCCAGGTCTTGCCGGAGCGCTATTCTTCGCTCGAGACCAGCAGGTAACTTCCGGCCCCGGCGCCCGCAGGGGTGGCGCCGCCTTTCCTCGGCCGGCCGGCGGAGACCCCCGCTCCCCCGAGTTCCGAGGGGCGCCGGTTTGGGACCGCGTGTCCGCCTTTTCCACGGCTTACGCATTTCCCCAGTCGACCTGCGCTTCGCTTTGGTGCCGGAGACAGTTCTTTGACCTCACCGGTTGCCAGTATGAAGGGGAAAAGCAAGCTTTCCTCGGCGGTGTTATAAATAGCTTCTCTGGTGCGACGGCAGCCAGCCCAGTCTCCGCAGACACGTACTTTCCAGGAATCGGAACTGCTGTTAGACTAGCAGAGGAGGAGGTACGGTGTCGTGTGAGGCAGCCTAGTAAGGGGTGTTTCTCGTAAAGCTGGGTTGACTGAGAAATGTGATCTGACAAGGGAAAGAAACGGCACGAGCCATTCAGAGTACTCTTGGGGAATGAGAAGTTGCTAATGAGAGAAGGCGGCGATCTTTGCTCCGCATTGCTGCGCTTTGAAATGAATCTCCAAAGCTGCGCAGGACTGGGTTGGGGACAGCATTGTCATTTGGATCTAGCTTAACATTTGTGAACGGTTAGCCGCTGGTGTCATTTGAGCAGTGAAAGAGTGGGGTGATTCACCGACTTCAGCGCACCCACTGCTGTCCTGTCGCTTCCTAGGTAGTAACTCTGTGAAGAGTTTCCAAGGCTGTATGACTCCAGGACCGCAGGTAGCCTCATCTGGCTCCAGGGCGCGGCTGCTGGGTTTGAAGGACCAATCTTGCAGATAGCTGCACAGTGCTTACCCAACAGCGCCACCAGGGCTCCTGATTGCTCTCTGCACACACACACACACACACACACACACACACACACACACACACAC